ATTATTTATTATGCTTTGTTTAATTTTTGTTTTAATCTACCTAAACATCTAACACCACATATATTTATGAGATTAGCTACTAATAACGGCAGTTGGTGGATATTCAACAAATCACTGACTTTACAGCCAATCAGACGTCTCTCGGTAGAGGGATCTGTGAACATCACGGATCAGTCAGCAGAGAGAAGCCCCAGCAAGGCAATTTTCAGATGATGTAGTGTCTTTACCTGAGTTAAAAGCCTTCCTGGCACATCCAGGAGGAGTGGGAAAGAGCAGCTACATCCCTGCCCATGTTCCAAAGCCACAGTAGGCTTGGATCAGGGAGCCTGCAGCTGCACAGAGAAACAAGTCTCCGCAGCCTGGGGAGGTGGCGGTGCACTTCTTCAGGCAGCTTGTACATCTCCCTGAATGGCTTTAATCAAGAATGGAAAGTTGGAAGTGGGGTTTGGTAGTAGTCATCACACACATACAGTATCAAATAATTTTTTCTACATTTTATAAGCACCTGCTGACCTTAACTCTGGAGTACTCAACATAAATTCTTCCTCTTTTTATATTTAAAAGCCTTCATCCGTATAAAAAATATTTTTAAAAAAGTGTCAGAGAGCTTACTATTTTATACGAGCTTTTTCCATTTCATGTTTCTTGGCCTGAAGGATGAATCTATGAGAAGTAGAAGAGGGCCTTGCCTCCACAATTATGCTGATAAACACAGAGAAGGGAAGGGATGCAGCCTCCCTCTCACAGTCCTGGGCTGAGGCTACTTAGGTCTCCTTTTCTCATAAAGAAAGAAATAATGAAGGCAAAATAAATGCAGAAAGCTAAAACACTAGAAGTATTAATAAATGAAAATTGAAGAATCTTAGGATTAACGTGACTCTCATATTAACAATATTAACAAACTCCCATTCCTCTGGGCTTGTATCTATTTTTCCCTGTTTAAATGATGTTGGGTGGCCCAGCCAGGAATTAGCTGGACATGAGAAGAGCCATAATGGATCCTACCAGGGTTTTTTTTTTTTTTTTACCCTCACACTCTGCCCCTGCCAGCAGCAGATGCTCAAGGAAGAAGTAAAGAACCACGATAGGCATCAGGTTATGTTTCCACCAGCAGATCAAGGAGCCTTCCAGCACTGTCCTTCCATGGGCAGCATTACTTTCTCTAGCAAAAACTGCTAAACATCCAAAACCCATCAGTTTAAAACACGCCCATATTCACCAGGAGGGTCTTTCGTGCTGCCTGTCAAAGCAAGTGCTTTTGCTGCCATATGCTTTAGCTCTGTTGGCAGGATTAAGGGCCATCATATCCACAACTTACACTTGCCTCCCTTAACCACTTCTGCTTCTCTTAAAAGCTTGTTTTGCTCAGCAGAATCCTGTGATCACATCTGTCATGTCTGGCAAACTATGAGTGGCAGCTCAGAAATATTGAAGACATTATTGACAATCAAATGACACAAATAAACGGGGAGCGACATGGTCTTGCGCTACCAAACTCTGCCTGATGTCTTCCAGATGAACATCCTCACAGCAGGGATGGTGCCAGCGCCAATGCACCCCGTCACAGCCCAGAGGATGCCAACGTCATGTTAGAGGTCTTCAGGGCGTTGGGGACCCGTGGGCCGAGGCACTGCTAGCGCCTGCGCTCTCACCTGCCTGCATGTAAAAGCTCACATGTTCTGCCTATTGTCATCCCTGTCATTTTTTGGGAGCACCTGGAAAACACCTCTGTGATGCCCTAATTGCATTTGTGCTCCTTCCCATCGTGGGGTGCAGCAGGGCAGGAGGCGAGAGCTGGACAGGTCCCACGGGGAAACCGAGGTGTGGGGCTGGTCAGAAAAGGGGTGTGGGGCTGGCGGAGGACATGGAGTGGGACTAGGCGGGCCGTGGGCAGCGAGTCAGGGAGCAGACGCCTCTCGGTCCGGCCTGAGATTTGGCAGCATTGCAGATGGCTTTACAGCTCCGTTATAACTGGCAGAGGGTTTGTGTTGAGCTTCCTGTGCGAATGCTGCTCTTCTCTTCCAGATGCTCTGGGGAGGGCTGGATATTCAGGCCAGCAGCACAATCCAGCTGCGGGATGAAGAGCTGGCCTCCCTGCGCCCAGCACGGCGGTTCATCAAGATTTTAGAGAACGAAGTTCCTAAAACACCGACAGAGATTGAGCACCATCTGAGATACTATTCACTGACCGATACCCCTTTGCCTCTGACAGAGTTTGACCGTCTCCTTCTCACCAGCGTTTACTGTGCCTATCAGGTTCGCTCCGTGCAGGGTCTGGATAAAAATCTCTGGATTGGGTTTTTCTCTCAGCTGGTTGATGAAATGTTTCGCGATCTGTGCAAGGGGCTCTGCCCTGCAAACGCCACCCTCCTCCTGGCTTCCTGGCCGTGGAAGGAGAAGCCTTCACATTTAGCATCCCTGAAACATTTCTATCGTTCTAACCTGCCCAGGACCAAGAGAGACACTTAGTAAGGGAAACTACGGTAGGAAAGCAGTGGACCTGACTTCAGCTGCATCCTTGCTGATTTCAAATGCTTTCCACGTTATTCAGGGTTTGGTACAAATACACCACACCTTTTTGTCCCACTTTCTGCGTTGCATTGGCAACCCGCTAAGGATTTATACACAAGCTTTTATGTTTAAATGAAATAGGATAAAACTATAAAATGCATTTCACCCTTTCCCCGTTTTGTTTTTTTTTTTTTCTGTTCGGTTTTTAAGTGGGCTGAGCTGAAGGGGGCAGTGCTGTTCAGTTGTGTTACCTATCTTGGTCACCGATGCTTGCTAGGGAGATGCCCTGGCAGGTGTTTTTCCAGGATGTTATACTGGTGTCCTTGCTGACTTAATGTCAGATAATTCAGTTCAGCCTCCTTATATTCCCCCTGTGGTTTCAGCCAAATATATTATTTTTTCTCCTCTCCAGTAACCAGCTAAGCAGATGCTGTTGTGTTTCATGATATAGGTCACGTATTTAATTTCAGCTTTCTGCTCCTGTGGCATCCCATTTTATGTGTCCATAGTAATTTCCCATCTCATATATACATTTTTCTTTAAAAAGCAACCTGAAAATGTATGTATTCTATGAAGATTTATAATATTTGCATATCATATTTACACACGTATGTTGCTTTGTATCATTTATCAGTTTGGAATACACTTTTAAAAATTTCATTTAAATTCCTAAGGATCATGACCTAGTTATTTCCTCAGCAGATTTTACCTCTTCTACGAAGTTTTTTTTTTACAGCTATGGCACTTTACAAGTCAAACATAGTAAATTCACAGTCCCTATCCTCAAAATTAGAAATGCAATTATTTTACAGAAAGAGATCTTTAACTTTTCTCTCACAAATTGCAATGTGGAATTAAATACATGTAATTATCTACTTGTAAGAGTTTTTATTTGTTTGTTTGTTTCTACTAAGTTTCTCTCTGCCATTGCATGTATATTAATTTTGAACATTCATTGCATGTGCTTAGATGATGGGATCCATAATTCCCTTTCTATCAATATGCTCTTAATTTTCCGTGCTCAGCAAAGGAGGCATGTGTGACATTCAAAGTGGGAACTGCTAGCTTTTGGTCTAGTTAATTTTTTTCTGAACAGTTGTTGCCCAACAGATGGCAAGAAGAAATGGTGAGGCAGGAAGAAGCCTGGAAGCAAGATGCTACAGAGAATGGTTTTCGAGGTCAGGTTAGCGCTATGACAGGAGGAGATGGGTTTATACAGTTCATAAAGCAGGTAGTTTCTTGTGTGTTTGGTTCTGGCATTTTGGTTGGTGGTGGTTTTTTTGTTTGTTTGTTTGTTTTGTTTTTCTCCACAAGAATGTAGGGATTAAGATTAGCATTCTATTTGAAGTATAACTTCCAGTGAAATAGTGTCCCACCTAATGCTCTTCTCTTCTTATGCTGTTTTTTATGTACCTCCAACCTTTACCCTTCATCCTTTTCCCGATATGCCCTCAGACTTTAATGTCTAGAATATCTATGGAGTGATGGAGGCAGGGAGTGGCTGTACTCAAGTTCAGTTAGAGCTGAGAACATCATTAAAAGGCTGAGCTGGGATGGCATTAGTGCAAGAAAATATTGTCTTGCTGGAAAATACATGGTCTGAGCTATATGAATGTCTGGATAAAGGTTGAGGGGGTTGGCTTGGTGACTCGGATGCAAATGCACTCTTTTGAATCCAGGATTGTGTTAGGATCAGTTTAAGAACATTGCTACCTGTTGAGCAGATTCTAAATTAAACGCAAGTGATGTCACAAAATTTCTTGCACACTCATGATGATGTACGTTTGCAGTTTATGTAGCCTGAGAGACAAACCAGAGTTTAGCTCAACTGAAACAGCACCAGTCACACTACGATGAAGCCTCCAGCCTCCTGGCTTCTTACCACCCACCTGGGTGGATCCTGCCGTCAGTCCCAACCGCCCGGCAGGAGCACACCTTCTGCAGCCACACCAGCCTCTCTACAGCAGCACTACAGCCTGGCGGAACAGTGTGCAAGAAACCACTGGAACACAGATGCTGAAAATATCACTTAACGGTGCCTTTGATCCTGTTTGCGCATTATAAGCTTGCTCCTGACCCAAATATTAAGAGATTTAAAAATACATTTTTTTATCTTTCTTACTTACCTTTCTTCTGAGCTTTCAGAGGACGGTCCGTTCATAGATTTGAGCCCTCATCCTTTTAGCAGCCTACCCTTTTGTTTCTAAATGTATTATCTTCATTAAAGGAAAGCTGAGATTCTCAAACACAGCTTGACTTCAGCAACTTCAGATTAAGAAAAGCACCAAATATTGTGAAACTTGCAACAGAATCATAAAAGGTACCAACACATCACACATACGAATGATAAAAAAAGAGCGGACACAAACAAACTGCTCAGTAACACATACTGCAGCTCATACAATCACCACGCTTCTTTCTCTCCCCAGTTGGTACCTCAGGCAGTGGCAAGCACACAAGCCTCACAAGTAACAACAAATTCCAATCTGAGAAAATTTTTACATCTTTTGTGTTTTTATTACATTCATTTTCATTATATTTATTCCCTCCCCAGATATGCAAGGAAAGTCGCCACATCCTTTGCTTTCGGGATGCTGGGGATCTGCAGTAATGTTACTGCAGTGGTTCTCTGATCCTCAGCATCTCACTACCCTGCCCCACCCCTGCCCCAAAACTACCTCATGCTTTATGCTTAACTCAAACACCAACACAGGACACACACGTACAACCTGTAAAGACCTTTCTATGGATGAACAGCAGACACAGCAGCGGCCCTGCGGACAGGGCACAAGCGTGCAGCATTGAGGAAAGCACTGGACACATGATAGCATGCTCAAAGTAGAGGATGATATCCGAAGAGGAACTATACCCAAGTTCATGGCACCTTGGCTTTTCTTATGCTCTTTTCACATCTGCATTTAATTATTTGACCCTTGGGGTGAGCTGGCACCTGGAAGCCACTTTGGCTGAGTCTCTGAATAGATCAGGAAGCCTGTGAAGGTGATGTACTTGCCATGGTTGCTGTAGGCACCATAGCCATCGTGCTGGTGGCTGTAGAGCCAGACGGTGTCCCCATATTGCAGAGGCAGCATGATACTCTGGCTCTGCATCTCCCGCCTCTTGGAGTGGTTGTCATCATAGATCATGGCCTGCACCTCATTGTGGTTCTTCATAAGTTTCACTGACATAGTCTTAAAGGGCATTTTGCCAATGGTGAAGGAGAAATAGTATGCACCAGGTATACGGCATGAGAAGATGCCAGTGGAGGCATTGAAATCTTTTCCAATATTCACAAACTCTGTGTCAAATGTGATCGGCTCATGCTGGGTTTGCTTGTCATCTGTCCCCAGGAGACTTTGTGAGCGGGCAACAGAAAATGCAGAGCGAGGGTCTTGTTCTCTGTTTGGTTGATCAGACAACACGTGCAGCTGTGAAGCTTCAGTCTGCTCTCCGGGAAGTTGCTGAATAGTGTGATGGTGTGGGCTCAACTCTTGAGAGCTAAGAGCATTCTGGAAGAAGGCAGAAGTGTCTGGATAGATTAGGTAGCCATTGAAAGTTGTATAGGGGCCCACATTGCTGTAAAGAGCATACTTTGGGTCTCCATGTAAACGCAGCCAAACTGTGTCACCGTAGTCGAGCTGCAGCATGGCACTCTGGCTGGCTACTTTCCGTTCCTTGCGGTGATGTTCATCATACACTATCACTTGCACCTCATTCTTGTTTCTCATCAGCATGACAGACAAGTTTTTCTTTGGGTATTTCCCAACAGTGAAGGAGAAGTAGTAGGCTCCAGGGATCCGACAGCGGAACAATCCAGTCTTGGGATCAAAGTCATTGCCAATGTTCACATACACTTTGTCAAAGGTAATTACCATCTCAGAGCTTCCTTCCATGCTGCTGGTTCTGGCCACAGAGAAAGCAGAGCGAAATTCAGTAGCGGTGTCTGCTGGGAAGCCATCTGTAGGCAGAAAAATCATGCAGCAAAGGAAGCCAAATAGGATCTGAACCTTCAGTGTCATCATTGTATCTGAAAGGAAAAAGAAACATATTTGAGCAGGAATCCCATTAACTTCCAATTCATAGCCCAGTTGAAACCCATACCTGAATCTCGCTAAATAGACATGAAGGTGTATGTCCAAATATTGATAAGTCTCCAGTGCAATGTCTCTGATCAGTGTACAAGACCATATCTCAGTTCAGATCCCTGCACCATTTTGATATTTTCCTAGCAAGAGCTGGACCTTTTTTCCCCTGTACTCATAGGAAGAAAAAGAATCTTCTCCTTTGAAAGCCTGCTTACCCTACAATTTGTCTGCAAAACACCGTGTTGCTCACAATTCAGAGGGATCTCAGAGCTTGCTGGGGCTTTGCCAGAGCTCCCTTTTGTAGTGATTTTATTCAAAAGACCGAGAATGAAACAAAGCCCTATACAGACCCTGTATTATACAGCTGAGATACAGCTGAAGGGTAGGGAGGACATATGCTCTAGAGATTCCCATGCAGATGCCATTGCCTAGCACCGCGCTAGATGTTTCACGGGATGTGGAAGCTGGAAGCCAAGTGCGCTGGTAGACCCCTTTATTCAGAATTCACCATAAATCTGTGAAGAGTGTAAAGAAACTAGAAGAGGGATTGTTTAGGGGAGGAAGGAAGACAATGGAGAAAATGAATGAAATAAAAAAAGAAGCAAAACAAAAGATAAATAAAAGGCAAGTCTCCCGAAGTGTAGAATCTCTGAGAGAAAACTGAAATACCAAAACCAGGGAAACAACTCCCTATCTGGATAATAGACCAGAGAGTAAGAACTTCTTTGACCCTTAAAAGAAGAGGGATAAGTTAGGAGCTAATGGGATTTTCTGCTTCTAGTTTCTGTGATTTTTTTTTTTGGACTGAGGCCAAAAATCATCTATTAGTGCTTTCAGGCTGAAAACAAAACTGCCAGTCATTCCAGTGAGAAGCTTCTCTCTCTGTCACCTCTCTGTGCTTATTAAAATATCATTCAGGCTGGGAGGCAACTGCCTGGTTTGCAGTCTGCCCCATCTGTCACCCCAAAACTGGTGCCTTGCCAGCCTGCAAACAATGAATTCACAGACCAGCAGAACAGGAGCAAAACATGCTACTCACTGAGGGGGGGGGGGTGACTACAAATCCTGAATTAAAAAGGATAAAGGGGTAAATATTTGAGTCAACTGGGATAACCTAGTGGTAGAAGTAAAGCAGACTGTATCCACATACACTGAGCCACCTCAATGGGATCTTCTTTTGGCAAGATGTGATACCTAGAATCACTCACCAAGAGGAATTCAGTTTGACCTACAGTCCTTGCTCTTTTGCACTTGAGAAACTGAAATCTGAAATGCAGCTGTAATAGATATGAAGCCATGAATCAATTAGGTTCTCATTTAATTACATGAAAGTGACACACCAGTAAAGAGAAGAAGAAATGTCCATCCATGTCCAAATTTTACATTAGATCCCCTCTCTCACAAACATCCCAGTATTTTCTGCCATGCGCCTGAAACCAGAATGTTTATCCTGACTTAGCCTGCTTCTCCTGAACACATCCATGAGACCCCATGGGCTGCACTGAAGGGTGTTGAGAGAGCTGGCCAATGTCATATTGAAGCCACTCTCTATCACCTTTGAAAGGTCATGGAGATCAAAGAAGGTCTCTGGTGACTGAAGAAAGGAAAATGTTGGGCCCATCTTCAGAAAGGACAAGCGAGACAACCTGAGGAAGTACGGGCTGGTTGGCCAATTAGCCACTCACTCTGGTCCCTGGGAAAGTCATGGAGTCTTCTTCTTGGAACACATTTCTAGGTAAAGGACATGACATTTAGCATGCGTTGATCAATTGAGGGTCGATCATGTCTAACCAAACTGATTATAGGAAGAGACCAATGGATGTCACCTACCTTTTAGCAAGGCTCTTGTTACAGTGTCCCAGAGCATTCCTGTATCCAAGTTGTGATGTTACAATCTAGCTAAGTGGACTACCAGATGGGTGAAAAAATGGCTGGGTTGTCAGACTGAAGGGTTAGTTGAATTTCAGATGTCCTCTTTAATATTTTTTATCAATGGCCTGGAGAAGGAGACAGAATGCTTGCTCATCAAGGTTGCAGATGATACCAAAACAGTGGGTTTGCCAATACACTTGGAGATACAGATGCTATTCAGAGGGACCTAGACAGGCAGGAGGAATGCACTGAAAGGAAATTCAGCAAGGATGAATGCACATTCCTGTACCTGGGATGGACTAACCTTGTGTGTTGATACAGGCTGGTGACTAACTAGCTGGGGCTCAGTGCTGCTGAAAAGGAACCTAGGAGTCCTGGAGAACAATAATTTATACCTGAGTTAGTGCTGTGCCCTGCCAGTAATGAAGGCTGACAGCATACCGGGGTAAATCAGCAGAATGTAGCCTGTAACCACAGGCAGTGATTATTCCCTTTTAGTTGGTACCTGAGGGATGCCAGGAGAGGACAGACAAGGTGGTTGAGGTCTGGAGCACTTGCCCTGTGAGGAGAGGATGAGGGAACTGGGTTTGTTTAGATTGGAGAAAAGAAAACTTTGTGGGGGATCAAGTAGTAGCCTTCCAGTGCCTATGAAGAGGTTACTGGGATGACAGAACTAGGTTCTTCACTGATGTCCATGGTGGGAGAATAAGAGACAATGGTCATAAAATCCACAGGGGAAGGTTCAGACAAGATATAAGCAAAATAATTTCACGCTGAGGGCAATTAAAAATGGAACAGTTTGCCCAGAGAGATTGTGAATTCTCCACCCTTGGAAGTTTTCAAGACCAGACTGGATTAAGCTGCGAGCAACATGGTCTGCGTCCAGTGTCAGCCCTGCTTTCAGTAGGAGGTCGGACTAGAGACCTCCTAAATCATGATTCCTGATTCTGTAACTGATTCCCAAAGCTACTTCCTTTTCACAGTTGAAAATTCACTAGCTACTAACCCTAGCCATGACACTTACATGGAACTAACCAGGTAATGGCAGGTCTGACAAACAGACTATCTTTCACCAAGCAAATTAATTTCAGAAAGCATTTTCAATGGAAATACTGAGCTATAGCTAATTGCCATGTATCTGCTTCCATGCTGTCTTTATTTTTCCTCACTTTGCCATTTAGTTTGTGAGCTCCTCAGGGCAAAGAGTCTCTTCCCATATCTGTGCAACATTTGGCCACTGCTGCCATTTAAACAATACTAATAGGCCCTAACATCCCACCAAGAACTAAATCCCGAACCGTCACACAGTGAGCTCAGCCTCTGGTTCAGC